CACCATAGCTTGCCTCCATTTAAAATATAATGTTTCCCATCACTGCTTAGCTCAGCTCGGGTGCGTATGGACTACAAAATAAAATTAACACTTATTAATTCAAGGTACAAGTGTACATGTAGCCCTTGGTCTTTCAGACACATGGGGTAGGGGTGGTGTTGGATGTCAAACTCCCCAAGAGGTTTTTCTCAGGATTGTGACGGGAAAATTCCTTGAATTCTTTATAAATGAAATAGACAACATTTCACATTTGTATTCATACCCCCGCATCAGATCCACTGGATGGTTCAGTTAAACAAAATGCTGCCATCTTTTCTGCTGGTGCAAGCTGTGCAAAATAAAACAAGTATATTACATTCTAGTCCAAGATTTTCCAAAATTGTTAACTGAAAGCCTTGGCATCAATATTTTAAAGCAAAGGGTCTTGGCACCTCATTGAGTCTCACTACTAAGTTGTAAATAATAGTTATGAATACCGGTAGTTCCATAGGGTAATTTTATCGGCATGTATATGCATAGGACTTTCAATTCGTATAACATCTTATAATAATGTTTTATTTAACAAATAAGGAAGCCTAAGCCATGTATTACACTGTGATAAAGCACACAGGCATTTGAGAACATGAGGGAAATGTAGAAAACACAAGCCTCAGTCAAGTGTTTTCTACATTTCTTGAGTGTTCTCAATATAATGTCCAGAGTGTTTTATCACAGTGTAGTGTGTGGCTTAGGCTTCTTCATTTTCTTTATGATATAGAGGTAATGTGGCGAAAAACAATAAAACACGCTTTTTCTATGTTTTATACTCTGATAAAACAAGGGTTTTTGACCAATCAGAGCGTGTGCAGGGTCCTATCTATAAATGAAAAGAAATCCATGGCTTACCAATGGCAAGTACTTCTCTTTTTGCTCCTTAAAAAATAAAAAAGAAAAGAAAAGAACCATTGAAACTGCCTCATTTCAAAACTACATCATTCTATTTATTAAAAGTACTAAGATTAATCTACATCAGGCAAACTGGTCTATACTACAATCGTGTACCAGAGCTTATCCTGGCTTATCTAGAACTTACAGACTAGGAATATTACTATAGATCTACTCTCCCTGGATGGGTTGCTAATACATCACTGAGTTACCCCTATGTGTGTGCTTTCTTGCAATCTACTGACCTTGTTTCCATAAAGTAGAATTCCTTTAAATCCAATGGACTGATGAGCACCCAGAACTATTCCTATAGCTAGATCATGGGCACCAACGATCTCAACCAGACGGGCATACTGAAGTCATATCAACAAAGCACAAATTTAAAATTGAAGACAACAGTGATACAAATTACTTTCACCTGATCTAAATATTACAGTGTACAGTCTGAGTATGAGGGGAGCCAAAAATCTGCAAGGAAGCCACACAATGTGTACATGAAATGAAGCTGGACAGTTTTAGATTCATTGTGGGCCGCTTCCAAACCTATTTGTCCTTTGACAATCTCCACTATCAAATTAAACTCTCCTAACAAAATATTAATTATATTTAACCATCACACGATGACTCATAATAAGTAATGTCAATGACTACATGTACAATGTAAGTGACACCTTACAGGAGGTCTCTAATTGGGAGTTACATGTACATGTATTCAGTAATTTACATGTAATTATAATGAAATGACTGTCTAGTACCTGAGTGTTGGTAAGACCAAGTCCACCAAGGTCTGTTGACACCTACACATAATAAGATGACAGAAGCAAAATAATTCAACATACACATGGGCATGCTTCAAGTAACTCTTACTCCAACATGCTATTCATTCCACTTCTTGATGCTCCTTCTAGGACAAGAGCGTCAAAACAATTTTGCAGTTTCCTTTTCCCAAGTTCCCACTTCCAAACATACTTTCTTCTCACGACTTCTATAGAGCTCCAGGCACCAGGGTCCCGGCAGATCCTCTGCCCGACCCCCCACACATTAATCAAAACGACAAAATGCTAACACTCAAACACTTTTACTGACAACCAATAACTGTTTAATCTCAGTGCATTGTGTCAACATTAAATGTGACTGTATTCCTCACCATATTTAATTCAATTTATACATTCACGAG